GGTCAGGAATTCCGGAGAAATCGTTGGATAGCTTCGCGTTTTTGTTGGAATTCATAGTTTTGGAACTTTGACTTGTTTGGTTATTGGTTTGCAGGAGCTCGTTGGATGGTTTGTTGCACTTTGACTTGGCTCAATCCATTGGAATTTTTCTGGAAAATGTTTGTTGGACTTTTTCCTCAGGAGTTGGATTTATCCGTTGAAATTAAGATTTTTCAGGAAAATATTGTTAAGGCTGCGTTTGGGCAAAACGTTTTTTCTCTGAAAAAACACTTTTTTTCAATAAGTGCTTTTCTAATAAGCACTTTTTGGCAAACCAGCTTTTCGCATAATCACTTTCTTTTTCTCTCTCTATTGGTTGCCTTAAAATAAGAACGGAAATTACCAGATTTACCAAAATGTCGGAAAAGAGTCGGGAGTTGGTTTCGGAGCGATATGTTACCCTCCCGACGCACCTGATGATGACACAAAATGTAGTAAAACAAAATTGGAAAAAAAATTCAATAAGGAACGGAAAGGCTCTATCTAATTGGAAAAAATTGGCGTGTGATCCGTTGTCGCAAATGGGTCAAAAATGAGAATTAAAAATGTAGTAAAACAAAAGAGACTCTTGAGTCGTATCGTAATAACTCTTGAATGATTTAACCAACTGATCAAAATAATGAAAGGGGGCTTAACGTTTCGATTAAGATTACGACTAATAGAATTTGATTACGAATAATATTGGCAAATTAATCTAGTGTTCAATCTCCAACTTATCATTGATTAATATAGTTTCAAAGCCCTAGACGATTTGAACTCCCTTTCAATTAGAGCAACAATGATAAGCGCAATTAATACTAATATATGATATGTGTTTCTAATTTCCAAATTAAGCAAGCGGATTAAGTAGGTGTGAATTAAGTAACGCGGTTATACCTATGAAACATAAATCAATCAAAATAAATTAATCATACTCTATAATCAGCAATCAAAATAAATTAATTATACTCTATAATCAGCAATCAAATTAAGCAAACAATGAAAACTCAATTAAGCAATCAGATTTACAGAAAAAATAGAAAAGGAATTGAAATTTCTTTGGAAATTATAAAAAACCTCAAAGTGGATAGAGACACGATTACAACAGATCAATCCCTAGGACGTTATTTATCCATAGAATCTGTAAAAGGTCTTTTAATTTCGTGAATACTGAATGAATGTCCTAAGGCTAAAAAATTTGTTTAAATAATAAAAGAGAAATTGGGCCCTAATAGCAACAGACTTGAAAAACATAAAAACTAGCTCAAACTAATTATTTTCGAAAATAAAACTAATTATTTGATATTCCTTCACTCCGAATCAAATTTTTACTAACACAAAACTTGTAGTTTATCCTCTTAGCTTTCCAACGCATATTAGAACGCGTCAATCCGATTTTGTAGCTCAAGTTATGACCTGCACGGCGAGAAAGTGTAAATAACTATTTATTTAGAAAATAAGTAACAAAATTAAAATAAAAGTATAAATAAATTAAATTTAAGAAACACACTCAAAACAGTAAAATAAAAGCAACAAGTTATAAAATCTCTTAGTGCAAAGTAAAATGTGGTGTATTAAAATACAATGATCATATGTGTGTGATCTTTTTGAAACAAAATCATTGGGAGGTAATAACTATGTATTTACTTTCATAGATGAGTACACTAGACTGATAAGGCTCTATTTAATTGGAAAAAATTGGTGTGCTCGCAATGTTCAAGAGATTTAAGTTACATGTTGAGAAGCAATAGTAATGTAGTCAAAAGATATTAAGAACAATTTGTTGATGTGAATACATATTTATGAAGTTTCACAATTTTGTGAGATGAAAGAAATAAACGACCATATATTCATTGCACAATATACACAATAGAAATAAAGAATATAAGCATCCTGAATAAAAGCATATTGAAAGAGAAGAAAATTTCTCACGGGTTATGAGGTGAGATGATCTCTACAAAATTTTGCATCATAAATAAAATTCCAACCAAGAAACTAATGAAGAAGACAACACATGATGCTTGAACATGTCAAAAATCTAATATTGGTTATTTTAATATTGTTGGCTCAATGTGTTTTTGGCACGTGCTAGAGAAAATCAGGAGAAAGAATAATTACTGAAGCCAAGTAATGGTTCTTATAGGTCATCATTCGGTTAGTGCATACTAATTTATGCTCCAAAAGAAAACAAAGTGGCAATCAAAATAAATGTGACATGTGATGAGAACAAAGGGTGTAACTCAAAATAGACAAAAACATAATAAGTTTTATCGGAGAAGATAGAAGTGATCACAACATAGTAGTTATATTAGAAGAACAATTGAATATTTAGGTGTCAGAGGCTAACATTATAAGATCAAACACAAATAGAACTCAATCAGTCAAGTTAAAAGGTTATGGTGTATTTCTTGAAGAAAAAAAACAATGACTGAAGATGGTGACTTAGTCAATGAGGCCATGATTATATAGTTAGAGTCAACCAATTTGGATCAAGCTCTAAATGATCCAAATTTGATAGCATCCATGAAGGTTGAACTCAATGCAATTGAGAAGAACAAAACATGAAAGTTGATGCATAACCATGTACCTTAATATAAGTTTGAAGAGGATGACATTATATATGTGCAATGTTGACTTTATGTTGAATTAAACATCATTCTCATCTAATATCACAATCTCTCTTCAAGTCTTATAAAATTGTACCTTGGTTAACGGTTTTGTGAAAATATATGTTAATTGGTTATGTATATCTACGAATGTAACTTAGACATCTCCATTAAGAACATGATCTCATAGAAAGTGATGTTGTATATCTATATGTTTGATTCTTGAGTGCATGACTGAATTTTTGGTTATGTTGATAGCACTTGTATTGTCATACTTCAAATGAATGCATCCAAAGATTACACCATAGTTACAAAGTTGTTGCTTTAACTATAAAATTTGTGCACAACAACTTCCTGGTGCAAGAAGAGAGTTGAATTGTGTTTTCTTTTTTTAAACTCTTGAGTCAAATCTAAGCATAAGGTTGTAAAATCTGATTCAGTCAAAGGTAGACAATGAATAAAATATGTAAAAAAAAAAACAGAAGAATACACAGAGCTATCTTAGTTCCTCTCACAACTCGAGAGTAATTCAATTTTCACTATAATCACACAAGATTACAATTTACTCAAGCACAAAAGCAAGAGAATTATTTTGTTCAAACACACAAGAGACTTCTTTGCTCAAGCACACAATCAAGAGGCTTCCTTTGCTCAAACACTAAAGTAAGAGACTTCTTTACTCAAACACTTAGTAAGAGACTTCTAAATAATCTACCTAGCAGATAAATGATTGTTGTGAAAATACGATTGGTATACAATCATAGGTGTATAAAGAATACAATGCAAATAGACACTTTTAAGATTTAAGGATTTCTAAGGTATACAAAGTTTAAATGCATTTTTTGTTCTTGTAAGTTAGCGAGTTTTTGGTTTTGATTTGTAATTTTTTTCCTTCTGAATTCATATATCTCACTTTTGTGTGCGTTTTAGTCCCTAAAGGCAAAATCCACCGAAAAATCCGAAGAAAAATTATAGGAAAACTATGGATTTTAGCTTTAGAGACTAAAACGAACGTTAGAAAATGAGATATAAAAACTCAGACAAAAAAAAAACTTACATGAATCAAAATCAAAAACTCGTCAACTTACATAGACAAACAAACTATTTAAAGCGAATTAAAAATATGAACTAATTTTATTAAATTATTTTTATCTTCAAATTCAACAAATATTTGATTTCCTTTTCATTAGTTTTTTATTTCACTTTTAAAAGTATTTTATATATCAAATTCATGACTGATATAAAAAAAAATTATAATAAAAATCAGAATTAAAGAATTACAAATAAAATGTTTTATAGCATTGTTTTAATTAAGTAAAGTGTATTTAGAAAATGGTCGGATTGTATAGATAGAAGATAGAGAAATGCTTCCATGACACTACATTTTACATCCACACCGTATATTATATATTAAATACATACTTATTATTATTTTAATAATTTTTGTTTTACTTTGATAACTGTGCAATACTAAAACACTTGGATACATACGGTGTAATTAGCATACGGTGTAATAAATTGGTGTTAAGCTAGCAATGCTGTAGAAGATAAATAAGATCGTGTGATTTATTTGATGCAGACTAATAATAATTTTCTTATAACAGTTACTTGTTTGATGCATACTAATAATAATTTTCCAATAACAGTGACTTGGAGTATTTTATGTGTAATCTGTATGAAGTTTAAATAAACATTAAATAGAAAGTCAAGATATTGTAATAGAAGAATTAATAAAAAAACTGAAGTATGCTAAAAAAAAAAAAAAAGTTTTGTATGTAACTACTTAAAATATATTTCAAAAGTAAACTTATCAACCAAGTTTTTTAGTTTCCCACTTTTAACATTAAAATTACAAAGCAGATTTTTTTTTTTAATTTTTTTAGTTTCCCATCATATAAATAATTTAAAGTTTGAAATTTATCTGCTGACTTGACAAGATACATGGCAATGCACCAATCCCTTTTCTCTAAAAACAAACTTGCAAAAGGATATTTAAAAACTAAATCAAAATCAAATCCACCAAAGCCATTCCCATCATGGACGCCCTAAATCCTTAATATTTGAAGACTTTTTTTGTCCTTTCATGAGAACATTCATACACAAGGCGACAAAAAAGGAACTTAAATTGCATGAATAACAATAACAAGATGGATCAGGTGAATTGAAATTGAACTACAATAAACAAGCAAAAGAGCATATAAAATCATTCATATATCATCATCATCGTACTGTAAAAACTTCAAGGTAAAGGGTATACAGGTTAATATCTTGACTACATACAAAATCATGACATACACCTGGTATCTTTCCTCATCATATCATATATATAATCACAAGAAAGTCGAAATAACAAGATAATGTCTAGGAGACTGGCATTTACTTATTCCGAAGAACGATTGGGAGGACAATTACGAGGATCAAGGCTATCAAAATTGCCAATACAATCAGCTTTATCTTCATATTTTGCAGCCACATTTTTCTACGGATTTTTGTTCCTGAGTTCCTGAAGTCTTGTGCCTGCGTCAAAAACAGCACACAGCAACTGAGAGAACAATTCGATTTGCAAAAATAGGCAGTATTTCTTTAACCACCCCCCTTAACTCTCTATCTTTTGTTGTGTGGATGGAGGGACGGGTAAGATCTTCTCATGACACTCAGCATGCCATCAATTATCATAAAAAATGCTTTAGGAACTAGAATGAAAATAGTTGTTCACATGAAAAACCCAAGTACTGATGCTTAAGTTTGAGACATTCCAATCACACAATTACTAACCTGGTGATGAAGGTTCTCAGTCTTGTCAACCAAAAGCTCGATCTTTTCCCCCCTGTCCAGAACCTACATTAAGTTTCAAACATGTCAATTTAATCTAACATAATGTCGTCAATTATTAGACATCTAATAAGGATTGCAGAAATAGAAGATTAGGATATCACAGATGCCAAAAACTTGAGTAAGTTTTCTCTCTGCTTTTCTTCTGATATGTACAATTTCATGTGATGTACCTTTTCAATAACATACATATGGTATACGTAATAGACAGACATTCACTCCTTCAATGTCATTGAAATGCACAAAATTGTAATTGTAATGTCAACAAGAATGCAGAGTGAAAATTTGATAGTTATAGAATAACTGAATACAAAAGATATATCTTGGTTTTCAATATAATTTGGTTTCTGGTTCAGTAGAGAATTTAACTTGAAATGCCATAATCAGTAAGCAAAGCACAGTTCAAGCCAAGCACAATAGAAATAGAAGTAACATGTTCTATCATGAAAGAAGAGAATGTATGCCTTCAAACCTTCCCTAAAATCTATCTAGATTTAATACATTCTCAGCAAGAAAAAAAAATCATGAGAAGTCAGTGATCATTGTTGTTAGTTCAGCCATATTATTTATAGCTACATTAATTTAATGCAAGTGATAGCTAGAAAACAATTCCAAAAATCTTTTCTGAACCAAACCCAATTCATTGCACCCTAATGGCTATGGCTACATACAGATGCATAGAATCAAATGATCACAACTTTAATATGGAATTCAGAGGCATAAAATACGTGAAAAGATGGTATGCCCCCCATTAACAGCACATGAAGGAGATAGAAGTTCCCCTAGCCTATCTTCATCATGTGTCCATAAAAAGCAAGCCTAAGGCTCACCATGCAAAATTATAAAAAATGTAGCCAGAAACATTGGGAATCCACTTTCTCCACTTAAAACCAAAGTATGATCTGTAAAGAAACGCATAAAACCCCAGCTCACTGATCACAAGCTTCTGTAAAACCCAACCTAACAATTAAGCTATCTACATTTTTTTTTCAAAAAGTGACACCACCAACGGCTTCATTAGCAATTAAAGAAATAGTCTAATATTTGTTATTTACAAAAAAGAAGCTATGGTTCTTCAAAACAATTTCTGATGTAATAACTTCTTTCTACTTAAATAAAATATTGGCAAAAGACCAACTGAACAAATAGTCTCCATTGTGAACCTTCCTTTTCCCCAATTTGGCAGGTCAACCAATCGATCATAAAAACATCCCATTTTTGGTCTTACATTTAATATAATTTAAGGATCACATATGAACCCTCATTTATTTATAGCTTTTTGTTCGTGTAAAGAAAGCCGCATGTCTGTGGCTAAAACATAGCTCACATGTTCAAGTCCAAACTTAGTGAAAAAGAAATCTCCCCAAAAGCACTGATTATGAGTGCTATACAATTTTAAAACAAAATATCAACTATCAAATCATGAATAGCCAAGCTAAATTTCAAACCTTGAATCGTATCAGTTAGTGCAATTTGAAGATTCAATGAAAATAGCTTAAAACATACCATATAAATGATAAATGGTGCACAATGTGACCAAACGAAGTCTCAACTTCTTACTATACAAAATCATAACCATAAGTCATAACTGAGCCCCAATATCAGCTTATTTAGGAGCTAATCAAAAACAAAAAACAAAAGTCCAAACACACTCATGAGTCATAATACTTTGTTTCAAATAAATATCCCAAGTACACTATCACATGCTGTTCGTAGACATTGAATAATAATTTCATGTGATGAGTAATGTATTATAGAAAATAATATAATGTTTTAAGATAATGCTATCCTTTCACTCTTAGACTTTGAGACCGCAAAAAACTGACTGCAATCAAGCATATGTTTCAAAAGTACAATAGCAAAGAGTATTATAGTAAATGAGATGTGGGTAGGGTGGGTGAGCAAGGGACTGTATGAAGCCTCTGTATCAGAAGAATTAAAAGAATACGGGAATACAAAAAAGAGTTCAGAACGAGTAGGGATTTATGTGTAGCCCTTTTGTTTTAGAATAATGAGATGGGAGTGATGGATTTATCAAAAGAGCACATTCAATCAACATTGGATACTTCATTTTAAAAAATAAATAATATTGTATCCATGGATTGGAACAATAATAAGCATGTGCATAACATATCACAATAACTAGAGAGACAAAATCAAAGAAAAAAGTAGCGGGAGAAATGATATTGCTGTATTACTCTCGTAAACATGCATTATATTTAAGTAAAAAATGAATATTTATATGGTCCAAAAATATGATTATAAAAAGTAATATATTAGAGTATAAAAATCATGTTAAGGCTCAATCTGGTTGAATCTTTGAACCATAATTGGTACCTACACCAATTCAATGTCCGGTTTAATTTTGATTAACTTGTTTCTAACAACTAACTACAATTCATAAACATATGTCATCTAGGAAAAAAGTACACTCAATCTAAGTTTTCAAAATCGCAATTTATCTAGAATTGGGAGGTTGGTGAAAATTTTACCACGTATAAGTTTAACACATGGCAAATCCTTTCAAAAGTAAAAGGTACAAAATTATGTGATATATTGGATTAACAATTTGTTTGATCTTTGTAAAACAAGCAAATTATGATTTTGGCCGACGCATAAAAAATCTTTAATTTTTATCCTTCCAAATTTTAAAAGTATTGTGGGCTGTCTCCATAAACCAAGTGAATTTAAGTTTAGGTCCACATAAATTATTTTCTTTGATTTTAATCCCTCTAAAATCACTGTTTCTCGGTCCTTAGCAATTACTTTAGGGAAGAAAAATATAATTCATTTTAGAGCTCAAGGTAAAAAAATTCAGGTAGTCACATGCAAACATGACACCACGGCCATTAGTAGGTGCCATTTGGGACCAAAAACATTTTTTCAAATTTTGCCAGATGAAAAATGAAGAAAAAGTTTCCGCATTTAACAATGACCAAAAATATATTTAAGCCTAATATATTTAACTTACACGCGGAATGATATACTGAAAGGGTAAGAATTTACATATACCTATTCTGTAGTTCGTGTATGATTCACTATATCAATTTCTGTTTTATACTTAAAGTCATACTGATTAATGAAAGAAAATAGAACAGAATGACCAAAGATTTGGTAGAGAGACCATATTCCAGGGGTAATCCAGAACAAAGCCAGACTTTTGAGTTTAAGAACATTTTCCGTCTCCCTTTCTCTCTCCAAAGACTCATTTCTATAAGTTTCAAATGTAACCTAATGAACTGTGAGAGTCTAACTCTTGTATACCACCAGTACAGCATTAGAACAATGCAAGAACTTCAAAGAAAAATGGCCAGACTAACTTCATGGTCTCATTTACGAGGTTCAGTATTCATATGTGAAGGTTTTCTCAAAGATTCACTTTCTGTTCGGCTGTATTTTCTGTTTTCACAAGAGTTTAAACAATCAATTTTAAAATACAAAATATGATTTCTAAAATCACAAATCAATCAGATTTAGATCCATTCGACGTAGGTTATATAATCCTAAAAGCCAAAGGGGATGACTAGTAACCATAATGTGTAGCATGTACCTTTTCAATATTCTCCATCATGACACCTTTGACTTCAGAAACCTGAGCTTTCACCTTAGCAAGCTTGCTCACCTCCTCGGGATGATCAACACAGTACTGCATATGTTCCTTCAATTTAGGCCTGCCACAAGTAAGATCAAAGCACATAAACTTTCATCAAACAAACAACACAGTCACAACAAACCCTCAATCATCAAACTCATAAAACAAAAACTCAATACCCAAATTCCTTATTAAGACTGTTAGGTGCAGCTGTAGAAGCCTTCCCACCGCCATATTTCACAACAAAATCATCCTTCACACGCTCCAGAAAAGCCACAGGCACTTGTCTTCCAACCGATTCATCCGCAACAACACAATACGCTACAACAACACCAAAATCCATAAAATCAGTACTATATATTACTCATCAAACGCCAGAACCTAGTTTAAAATTAACCTATAAGCATATAAAACACGAATTTCACTGAAGAACAACGCTAACCTAATATCAATTTTATAGTCAAATAGCGTCAAAATACTGATATAACTAATTTCTAGGTTATAATTTGTTCATAAAATCGAATTTAGAACTACGATTTCGTTAGATCGGAAATGAAGAAAAAAAAAGTGAAAAGTACGAACTGTAGCCATTATCGACGAGGTAATTGAAGGTGTGGCCATCACAGTTGTAGGTGAATTTGTTGTTAGAAGCTGGGAGCTTCTGAAGACACTGAAACGCGATGGAATTGAAGTTTCCGCTGAATTCGGTGTACTCGGAGAGAAGAACGCTTCCTCGAGAAACGAACGCGTAGATCAGAGATCTTTGATTCTGTCCCATCTTCTTCTCCACAGATCTATCGAACAACGGTTTCTTGTGATTTTGGAGTTTGCTATATTCTCTCCAACCTTTTCTTTCTCTTTTCTTTTCTCTTCTTTTCTTTTCTAGAGAGAGAGGGTTTATAGAGAGAGAAAGAGTGAGAAAAAAGAAAAGGTTTGTTACTGTTTTATAAAGTGGTGATAATTACAAAGACGCGATTAGTTCGAATTTTGTATTGGAATCAAGTTTTTAATCAATTATTAGTGATAATAATATTATAATGACAAAATGATGGGTTTAATTTAAAGCGAAAAAAAGAAAGTAAATTAGGACAAAATTAGGTCTTATTCCATATAAGTTTTTTTTTACTTTACTTCACTTAATATAAGATAATTTGTTTTTACTTAAACTATTTGTCCTGTTTTGTGTAAAAAAAATTAAAACTCGTAAATTCATTTAAGAAATGAATTAATTGAAAAAACAATTTATTAGAAAATAGGAGATGCACTAGTAATATATGTAAACTAATGATTATGCTAAAGACTATAATATTCTATTAAATGACACTAATATTTTAAATTAGTGATAGGACAAAATTGAAAATAAATTTTTATTAAATGACACTGAAATATTATTTTTAATTTCTTATTTTATTATTGGTTTAAATAATTTTTAATTTTTATAAATTGACGTATTTTTATTCTTAATTTAAATAATATTCAACAGAATCGACCCAATCAAACTAGTAGTCAGTTATAATTTAAAATTTGACCAATATTTTAAAAAAAATATAATTATATATTAATAAAAAAAGATTTAATTATAATTATTTTAATTTTGATTATCTCATTTTTTTAATATATTAAATTTTTAGTATAACATTTTCTAAAAATAATATTTTTATATTTATTAATATTAATCTAAAAAATAATATAATTTTTAAATTTTTGAGCAAAATTTTGAGTATGTAGAATTTATTGTTTGCACAGCAGCGGTCTAATATATATATATGAACTAAAATAAATAAACACTTCAATAGGGATAAAAAAAACTATTTATGTCTTTGATATATATTCAACCTTATACAATTGTGATGAGATTAGAGGCACCGTGTGCGTTTGGCCAGGGCTGATAATTAAGGGAACTTATTTATTCTGTTTATTTATCGTCATCCGTTTTTGGTCTGAAAAATCCAACTCACCCTCCTGACAGCACCCGCTAATCCAACAATAAGGACATTTTAATTTTCCGACACTTATTAAAATAATCTTTTTTATTTTTCTACACTCCATTTGTTAGGCTGAATGCGCGTGTTATTGCATTATTAAATCTTCCATATGGATCTTTCTCATTTTAGCGTATAAATGATGATTTTTTTACAACGAGTTTTTCTCTCCCTACTAGACATTTGTTTACCTTATACTTTTTTCTGTTCCAATTTACCTATTCTTATTAATGCCTCCATTCTTTTAATTATTTATTACAATTAAAAGATATTAAAATTTTAATAAATTGTTAATGGTATTATAAGTAAAAACAATCATTATTTTACAATAACAAAATTTATTAGCTTTCTTAGAGTATTAAGTTGAAAAAATCAAATTTGATATTAAATTATTTTATTTTGATGTAAATTAAGTATTTTTAATTTTTATTTTGTTTTTGTATTTGATAAAATTAGACAAAATATAACAAAGAAAAAATAATTAAATAATAGAAAATGAAAGTATACAATTTTTCCATTCCGAAATCAGAAATGTGTAGAGTTGTGGAAGTTAGGGTGGAGGAGAGCTTCTGAGACGACGAAGCAGGGGTGTACTTACAATGTTAGCACTCTGACATTCAAGTAAGTATGTGACTGATAAGAGAATATTTAAATTGTATGTTGAAACTTGTTACTTGAAATTGCGTCATCCCATATATATAAGGAAGAGAAATAATTGTCTCGCTACTTTTTCGACGTGGGATGCAGGGACCATTAAATGCGTTGGAGGTACGGATCTACTATTTCTGCGTTCCTGAGATTCTAGTGGTCCAAATGATATTTTGAAAGTAGGGTCGGCTCAATCAACCCGGAGGCTCCATTCTAATTTTAAAAATAAGTTCAAATTTTTTAAAAGGCACAATTGTAATAATTAAAAATGACAAATAAAAATATAATTATATATTAATAAAAAATAAATTTTATTATATTTTTCAATCTTATTTTATATGTATTAGGTTTTTATTATAGTATTTTTTAATTTATTGAATTTTTATTATAACATATTTTTCATGTCTATTATATTAATGAAAAAAATTAAACTTTCTTAAATTTGGAACCTCACAAAATTTAGGGTCCCGTGTTGTAGAGCTTGTTGCTCTTGCACATGGTCGGTCATGTCTGGAATCTTAAGGAATACTTGGTCTGGATTTAGGATATCACATCTTTGTAGTGATCGGATTTAAAAGAGATATGACTGGTCCAGAACAGTTACCCCTAAGTCTTATTGGAGTTCTGGGAGTCGGGAGGTCTTTAGCCACCTTGGTCGATCATCGCGAAGATATACCCTGGATGTTTAGAAATTTGAAACGTTTTGAGTACTTTACAAAAGTGATGAATGCATTTAATGTTTCATTGTTCCTGATTTGTTGTCTTTCTAAATCGTCAACAAATCACCTTAGACACGTAGGTTAGAAATCGATTACCCTACCTAGGTTACTCAAGTATATTTACCATTCGAGGGGATTGATGGGACAAGAAGTGTATTACCTCAGATTATTTGACCTGGACTGTTGATCTTTGTATTGTTTTTCTTACAAGAGTTTATGTGTTATCTCACATTTTCTTCTGGTGCAATTGTTTCATACATGTCTATCTTCTCTGTATCGCTTTGTCGTATTTACCAGATTTTTTAATCTCAACTGGCCCATCAGTTCTGATGATGGTGATCACAGTGGAAGATTATTCTTAGGTTGAACCGTTATATTTAGTACATGACTCTGCTTTCGTTTCGGGGAAGGAAATATCGTTTAATTCTTTAGAAATAGGAGTTTCTTCTGATTGGGAAATCTCACTATTTTCAGCCGGAAAAAAAGATATTTCACAAGTTCAATGGGTGTTTTGTCCCTTTTTATGTCTGTACTTTCCAGAATTTAGGTGTTCGTCTTCCTCTAAGCCCTTTCGAGAAGGAGGTTCTGGATCACTCTCGTATTTTCCCTTCATAACTTTACCCTTGTGCCTGGGGCTTCGTACAGGTATTTATACATTGTTATAAATACCAGGGGAAAACGGGTTTGGCTTTTCAAGATATTTTCTTCAATCATTTTAAAGTGTGTCCCGCTTCGAAGGGTGGTGTTAGTCATGGGCTTGTTTCCCTCTGTCGTGTTTAAAATCGAGTCTTCAAATTCTTCATTGACAGTTAGAAACAATTTATTATTAATTATTGTCTACCTAAACATCTTTCTCCTCTCTCTCATGAGGATTTTTGCATTTTTCTCCTATTTGTGATGGGCGACTTGGTTGTACGGAAGGGCGGCAGAGATTTCGATCTTTGGGAGATTTCTTTGAATGTGCCAAAAGTTGCGGGATTCCTTATGATGTCAATAAGGATATGAAGGCGATTATAGTTTCATTTTCTATCGGCCTTATACCTTGCAAGGAAATAGTGAAGACTGGCTCTATGGAGAAGCTCAATATGAAGAAATTTGTATTCTTCCACTTTGGAGATTCAAATCACTTGAACTCCTCAGATTTAGAAAAATAAACTATTACACAATCCTATTGAATCCCTCACAACTTGAGACAATCTTGAATTGAGAAAATCATAAAGTGTTTAATGATTTTTTCTTTAAGGAGAATTTAAGAGAAATAAACTTTCTAAATCCTTGAATGAAAATAAATATCCTCAAAGACTTAGATAGTTGTCCTAACGGGACACAAAAATATGCCAAAAACAGTGTAAAATGACCAATTGAATTGATTCAGTTAAGTAAAAGATTTGAATAAAATCAACAAACCTAATTTGAGTTTGACCAAACTTGAGTCTACTTAGATGAAGTATGAATTGATTCACTTGAATATTTAAACCAATTCACACATAAGTTTTATTCGATTCAAATGGCATGCTCTTTGAAAACATGAATTCAATGCATATTTAAATCGATTTAGATCATGCATGATTATACTCACCTGAATTGATTCAGAAAAAATCTTAATTCATTTCACAAAGTCGTAGAGACCCCAAGAAAGCCTTGAATCAATTTAAATGAAACCTTGAATTGATTCATAAAGTAAGAGATGGGTCCCAAAGTTTTGGAGTTGATTAAAACTTGTAGTACCCCAATTTTGTCGGGCAATAAAATTGATTTCTCAATTTTTCATAATTTTTCAAAATCCATCGATTAACCTCAAAAATACAAAAATATTTCAATTTAGTCTTTCATTCTTCATTCATCAATGATTTTACCATTATTTTTAATTTGACCATGAAAAATATTTATAAAAAAAATCATGCATTTAGGATTGGAAAATGGGTTTTTGATCTTCTTCGCACAAGATTGAAGAAAAGAGGACGGCTACTAGAAGGGTATGCTACAGGAAAGAGATAGAGAGTCGCACAGACTGTTTTCCCACTAAGACGATTCACATGAAAACTAAAAAAGGGGCAGGGAGGGACACACGAACAATCAACATGACAGAGTAGTGGTGTTGTGTGAGTAAAGGTTTGAGCAATGTTTATATATATAAATATATGTGTGTGTGTGTGTGTGTGTGTGTGTGTGTGTGTGTGTGTGTGTGTGTGTGTGTGTGTGTGTGTGTGTGTGTGTGTGTGTGTGTGTGTGTGTGTGTGTGTGTGTGTGTGTGTGTGTGTGTGTGTGTGTGTGTGTGTGTGTGTGTGTGTGTGTGTGTGTGTGTGTGTGTGTGTGTGTGTGTGTGTGTGTGTGTGTGTGTGTGTGTGTGTGTGTGTGTGTGTGTGTGTGTGTGTGTGTGTGTGTGTGTGTGTGTGTGTGTGTGTGTGTGTGTGTGTGTGTGTGTGTGT